TCAAAGCGTTCGAAGGGCTGAGCTTTACGGTCCCTTGCATGTGTCGCGTCGCGGCACGGCGTCGCTTCAGGTGGGGATGTATAATGCCACCGTGGTCAGAGGCTTCCGACGAGGCCCACTCTGGCACCGCCAGGCCAGGCGCCCTCATGCCGACCTGTGACATACGATTTGGAATGCGATCGAAGATTCCTTCTCTGGGGGCGAGGGGGACCTCGTTGTCGTCAAGGTGAGAGCGCATTTCAAACTAACAGGTGCAGAGCACCTCGAGGCACTCGCGCGGTGCCATCATTTAGGCAATCAGGCGTCTGACCTCCAGGCCAAGGAAGGCGCAAGGATGCACGCCATCTCTCAGCATACTACTGACGCATGGGTGGCTACATCAAAAGAGGCATCTTCCATGCTCAGCCTGGTCGGTGTTATGACCTGTAGCATAGGCACCTTTGACGATGCCACTGGCCGAGCGCAGAATGTTTCTCTGGCCCCCGGGGCCCGCCCGCGTCGCGATGTGTGTCCCGCCCCCTGAGTCTCGGCGCGCTCTTGAGTGGCATCCGGGGTCCTGGAGATGTGAATTTCGCCAAGCGGGCCTCGTTATCCCGTAAGTTTTATAGAACGAGGTGTTTCTTCCCACGGTCGGTGCCATGCTCGGGTCGACAAGGCTCCTGCGGATGGGGCCAAGGCGACGCGAACTGTCCAGAGTCGGCCACTACGCCTTTTGCAGGGAATGTGGCGCCTTTTCTAGTGCTCGCGCGCGTGGTCTTGCTCGCTGGATGTCCGAAGGGCCCTGGAGGCCACAGTGCGAAGGCTCGCCGAAACCGTTTGCTGGCGGGCAAGCACCCCTTGAAGAATGAAAGGCTGCCTGGAGAGGTGGTCGCATTGTCGATGGCCATTGCCTCTGCTCATTGCCTCTGCTCCCTCCGCCGCTGGAAGCGGCGCGGAGGGCTCCCAGAGGGAGTGACCGCAGGTGGCCGCGAGGTCCTCGCCCATCCCGGGAGCGCTGGAAAACAGGGAGTGGCGCAGGGCTCACGCGTCCCTTGCCTGTGCCTGCGCCGAGTGCGCGGCAGCCGCCTCGGCCACCCGGGACGAGGAGGGAGGGGCACGGACGGCGCCCCCGTCCCGCCTGCCCCTCAGGGCGCCGGCTTCGCAGAGCGGATTCCGATTGGAAAAGTAAGGCGGAGTCCTAGTCAGGTGAATGTCGTTCCGGATTTTGAGATTTTTGATTTGCGTTTTTTTGGCCGGGAAATGAGGCTTCCAAAACATCCACATGAAATTCATTGCGTTTTTCGCTTGCAGCGTTGTGGTTTCATTTGCAGAGTCCCATGCCGATTTCACCGTCGCGCGTCTGCGAAACCAGAGCCATGATCCTCCCCCCTCCCCCTGTTTTCGCATTCCTGCAGGTCCTGTATGGGGTGCCTTCGTCGCTCACGGCTGGGCGCGCACCAAAGGCCCTGGAGCCCAGAGGCAGGGCGACATGGCGCTCAGAGGCAGGGCCACCTCAGCGCTGCAGAGCGCAGATCACCCCCCTCCTCAGCCGGCAGCGACACCCGACCTCCCCCAGGCGTCGAGCAATGGGGGGACGATGAACGCCAGAAAGGGGCCCCCCTGGGACCCAGAAGGGGCACGAACGGTGCGCGTTTCTTACGCCCACCCCCCCACCCATCGCCCCCCACTCATTCGCGCACCCCCCCAAACTCATTGCCACCCTCATTCGTTCACGCCCGGCCGCGCGCGGGCCCGCTCCGGCCGCCCGCCCGCGGACCCGCGCCCGCCGCCGGCTCCCGCCAGCGACTCGGGCTCCGACGACAGCCAGGCCTTTGGAGAGGCGCGCCCCGCCCGCTCTGGGGGGGGATGGGCTCTGGGGGCGGGTGGCCTCGACCCCCCGATCGCCCGCATTCGGCGGCGAGCGAGGGGGGGGAGTGAGAAGCAGAAGGCCTTCTCAGAAGGCGGCGGGGCTTTTCAGGAGCCCTCCGAAGGCGCAGAACACTTCTCAGAGATCCCGAGGCCTTCCGAGCCTTCTGAGAAGGCTCGCCCCTCTCAACTTCCCCCCCCCCCCTGCGCGTCACCGACATACTTCGCAGATGGGGGCCTCGCAGCCCACCCCGCCCAGGAGCGTGTGATCTCGGAACCGAGGGCCCATCGCCGATCTATCGGCGAAGCATCGCCGATTGCAGCTCGGCGTTCCTCCCTCTGAGGCGGTCGCCCCTGTCGTTGCCACCCGCTCTCGTCAGTGGGAGACTGCGCTTCCCCACCCACACAGTAGGGGTGTACCTAAACGTTGGTTTGCTGGACTTCGGCCGTGTTTTGTTTTTTTGAGGGGGAGGGAGGTGCAGGAAAACAGGTAGAGCAAAACGAAAAACATAACGAAAAGAAAACTAATCACATCGCTTGGGTCCAGCCCTGCCACACATCCCTGCGTCGCGGGAAAGGTCGGCACACCTGTTGGTCAGCAGCGAGTGCGAGCGCCAACGCGGTCGAACGCCAGCGGGCCGCGCGCGGCCAGGGCACACTAGACCAAGAGGAAAAGAAGGGGACGGACGCGGAGGAGCATCGCGGTGGGGGGGGCACCAGAGGTACTCCTGACCCCAGTGGACCTTGGAAACGACAGGGCCGTTTTTTCACGGGTTCTGTTTTGCCGTTTTGTAGGCGGTTCCATCGTCGTTTGGTTGCCAGTTCCGTCGCCGTTTGTTTGCCAGTTCCAGATTCGGTTCCAATCCCGGAGCCGTTTTTGTGTTGTTTCCGGTAGCCGTTTGTTTTACCGCTTCCATTGTCTAGAGACATGTTGCCGAAAACGGTGAAAAGCCGGCCCTGCCGTTTCTGGCCCCCAGCAAGTTCCTGACTATTTCTCCTGGCATTTTGACGGGATGCACTTGGAACTTCAAGAAGATGGGCAAGCTTGTCCAAGCTACCATCTTGCCACACTGTGCGAGAATTCTTTCTTCTCGCGGATCGCGACAGAACTGTGCGAACGCGGGGGGAGGCCTCAGGCGTAGAGATCGGCGTCGAGCGATGTGGGGGAGTGACAAGAGAAGGCCCTCTCAGAAGGCAGCGAGGCTTCTCAGAAGCCATCCAGCCTTCTGAGAAGTCTTCTGTACCTTCGGGGTAGGCTTAGAACACCGCACTTCTCAGAAGTTCGGAGGCCTTCCGAGCCTTCTGAGAAGGCCCGCCCCTTGGGCAGGGGGGCGAGGGGAGGGGGGGGGGGAGAGGAGATGGGGGCAATCCAGGTGTGCTCGCGCCACCTCTGACGTCGCACCCCTCTCGCCCACCCGTCCTCATTCTCATTGTGCTGAGTCCTCTTCCCGACGCCGAGCGGGATGCCCAAAAGAGCCTGATCCCCAATTGGCAGCTGCAGGATGTGATACACTGCTTGCTGCACAATCGGCGAGGGGAGCTTTATTGTGCACAGTGGGGGAAGAGGAGGAGGAGGAGGAGGAGGAGGAGGAGGAGGAGGAGGAGGAAGAAGAAGAAGAAGAAGAAGAGGAGGAGGAGGAGGAGGAGGAGGAATTGGAGGAGGACGTGGAGGTGGTGGTGGAGGAGGAGGATCGGCACCAGCAGGCGGAGGGAGGAGGAGGAGGAGGAGGAAGAGGAGGACGAGTGGACGGAGGAGGGGAAAGGAGGATGACGGCGAATGCCCCGATGCTGAAATGCAGCAGGGAGGGGGGTTGCAAGGTGGCCCCACCTGGTCCAAACTGGCCACGAGCGGGCCCAAAGTTAGCCCCATTGGAGCCACAAGCTGGCCAAGATTGGCTCCAAATGGCATTGGCCCCGTACTGCTCCACCGAACCGACAAGTGGCCCCCAAGGTTGGTTTGAGTCCCCCCCCCGCAACTTTGGACCCCCCCGACAGAAAGAGTGGGAGTCCTCGGGTGTACACCCGCATGTGGGAGAGCGCGAAATTTACTTTACCTCCGTTTGTACCTTGATGGCTGAACGTTTCTTCCCTCTGTTAGTATAGTCGCTCGGCTCGACTTCCGCCTGGGAGAGCGGCAGAACAAAGCGGCTGCCGCCATAGATGATTCTTCTCGCGATTCAGGTAGTAGTCCTGCCGCCGCCTGCGATCTCCTCACAGTTCTCCCGAGGAGGGCGAGGATGTGTGGAGTGAGGGTGAGGGCGAGGGTGCGGGCGAACGTGCAGGCTCGCTCCAGGCCCACTGCAGGCCCATGGCAACGCAGCGTGCCTGTGGCGCTCGGCCCGGCAGTTCAGCGACGGGCGGCTCTCTCTTGTTCTGATCGGCGGAGCTGCTCTCGGCTGTAGCGACCCCGAGGGGACTGGGGGACGTAGGTTGCCGCCAGTTGCCCCTCCTCCTCGACCTCTCTCCCTCCCTCTGCCCCTTTTCGTGCTCGCTCCGCTCGCCGCTTTGAGTCTCACACCTGGGTCGCGTGGACCTCCGCATCACAAGTGTGTACTTTCTTGTTGGACTTGCTGCTGCTGAAGAAAGAGAGAGAGAGAGAGAGAGAGAGAGAGAGAAAGAGAGAGGAAGAAAGAGAGAGAGAGAGAACAAAGAAACAAAGGAAGGGAGAGGGGAACAAAGAGAAGGAAAGAGGGGGGCAACAGAAGGGAGAGCGTGCGGGCAGAGTGTGAGCATGAGTATGGGTTTTGAGGTGGCTATTGACCATGGCAGTGCTGGTGAGGGTGAGAGCGACGGTGAGGGCGAGGGCAGATCTGAGGGCGAGGACGAAGGTGAAGCTGAGGGTGAGGGTAACGATGGGTGTGGTGGCGGGTGGTGTTGTTCCTGGCCGACAGAACATCGAAAGAGTACCTCATGCCCCATGACCCCCCTCTGCCCAAGCTATGCTACTCTCGCTTGCACGGGTCTTCTTCTCCTTGATACCTGGCATGGGGCATCGTGAGATGCCACGACTGGCGTGTTCCCCCTGTTTCGGACACCGGGGCCCTCCAGGATCGATCCGGCTGGGAGAATCCAGCATACAGATTGCGTCGAGGCGTCGGACCGTCATTTTTCACGACGTCGAGATTCGTTGACCGTTTGCTGAATCCCCTCTCCATAGCCGTCCTGGCTCAGACTGTGGTGCGGGACGACAGGATATGTATTCGATTCGCGATGGCTGATGCGTTGCAAGGCATCGGTGCGGTTGTGTCCACGCAGCTCCTGGCGCGTGCAGTCACTTTCATTCTCAACATACTGATTGCACGCCTCGCCGCCCCATCGGAGTACGGAGTGAGCTATATTTCGCTGCAGCTGTTCAGCAACCTGTCTCTCTTCATCACGAAGGAAGGCTTCCGGAAGGTCGCCCTGCGGGATCCCAAGGACGAGAAGCATGCGCCATCACAGTCGTCCCTGAACCTGGGCTGGGGCGGGATCTGCTCGTCTGCGCTGCTGTCGCTTCCGCTGGCGTTTTACTGGATGCTGCGCGGGCCCGCAGCGGCGCCGCAGAGCTATTACTGGGCAGTTGCACTCATGGCCGTTGCTTCCGTCGTGGAATCCCTTGGCGAACCCTTCCTGATCTGCACGCTGGCAGCCATGGACTTTCGGGCCCGCGCTTTCGGCGAAGGCGTCGCGATCCTCGCCCGCACAATAGTCATGTTCCTTCTGGCCGCCTCATTCGGTGACTTGCCCCTGGCTTTCGCGATCTCGCAGCTCCTCTACTCTATTGTTTGGGTCATGTGGTTCATGCGCCACCCGAACGTCCTTGCTTGGATGCCGTCAAGGCTGCCAAGCGGCCAGTGGCTACATCCAGACCATTACGAACTGTTGGTGGAGTTCGGTGGCAAGGTGCTTATGAAGCTGGCCCTGACAGAAGGCGAGAAACTCCTCCTCCTGATTTTATTCACCCAGGAGGATTGGGGCGTCTTTGGACTAGTGTCCAATCTGGGCTCCATCGTCCTTCGGTTGCTGTTTGCGCCCACGGAGGAGATAGCCTACAGCTCATTTGCCGGCGGCGGAGCCCAATGGCATCTGCTGCGGGCTCTCCTGATGTTGCAGGGTGGCGTGGGTTGGCTGGGGCTGTGCTTTGGGCCCGGCTTCTCGAAGCTAGTGGTGCGCATCTTATATGGTGTAGACTGGGCCAATTCAGCGGCGCCTCAGGTGCTGACGGCGTACTGTGTGCTGCTGTTTTTCATGGCTCTCAACGGGATATTGGAGGCTTATGTCGATTCCCAGAGTTCGCCCAGGTGGGTGCGCCTGTGTAACCTCTGGCAAATTTTGATCTCGCTGGTGTTAGTGATTGTTGCATGGGGTGGAAGTGGGTATGGGCCAGTGGCACTGGTGTGGGCAAACTGTGCAGCCATGCTCCTCCGGGTGCTTCTGTGCGTATATTTCGTGCGGCAGCGAGTAGATCTGAGCTCGGCAGACCTCCGTGCAGCATCGGCGCTGAAGCTGGCTGGCCTGCTGCTCGTCAGCGGCTGTGGATGTTCCATGATAGTGCCACCGGTGTCGGACACTGTGCCATGGGCAAGGGCCGCCATCGCCATTGCATTGGCCGGCAGCTCTATCCTTGCAAGCGGATTTTTGTGCCGTCAGGAGTTGCGCATGACTTTCGCCGAGGTGCGCAGCAAGAAGACGGTCGATATGGAGCAGGTGGTGCAGAAAGAAGACGAAGTGCCGAGCAAGAAAACATCTTGATGCAACGTAGGATTGTGCCAGGTGTGGCGGCACAATGTGGCGAGCACGATCGGTAGATTGTCATCAGAAGCTCGTGTTGCAGTTCAAAGCAAATTTCAATGTGTACTTGTAGTTTGCCCGTGCTTGATTGCTAGCGTGCAAGACTTGGACAAAGTGTAGAGCCGAGAGATTCCCATAGTCCGGACCAATCGTGAGCGAGTTGGCAGCCATTGTCCAAACATTGCAAGCACACACCTTGGGTCAGCCACGCGTGCGGTTGTGGCTGTGATATGAGCGTGCTCTGCAGTCGCTCAGGTCGGATCCCAGAGCCTCGACGAGCCAGCGCCATGGAAACTGTAAACAGTTCTTCGCAGCGCCAAGGGGCGCGTACACGTGCTAAGAAGTGAGCTCCGCAGAGCAAGGCCAGGTTAGTCCGGACGTTGCAAAGTTACCCGTTAGACGAGACCAGCTCGGACCCTCCCAAACTACTTTGGATTTCTCAAGGCCATCTCTGCCCATGGCGCACTCTCCTCCTTCCGTTCTGTCCACCCCCCTCCTCGTGCTCAATCCTGTTCTTCACACCGCCCCCTTCCCTTCTCCCTTTCCTGTCTGCGCAAACTGACTGGCCACTGGAGTGGACGGAGGAAGTGCCCTCTTGATTGGTATACCAGGGCTCTGCCACACAAGGCGCGAATTCCAACATCGCGGCATGGACTGCTGTGTACAAGTGGTTTTTCTTTTTCAGGAGGGGGAAAATCACACAGACACATGTAATCGTCGATCCCCAGGTATGGGAAAATATGGGAAGTGGAGGGGAGACGACATTCCGATAATTGAAAAATATAGGGAACCTTGGGATTTGTGTCTATTTATTTGTGTGTCCCAGGGCCTCTTCATTTGTTCCTTTCCTATGGGCGTTCAGGCGCGCGGGTCTGGCTCCAGCATCGTGGATCTCGGACTGCCTGCAGTACGCGTACAGTCCCAGGCATAAGACTAAGTCGGGCCTATCCCTCTACAGGAGGAATATTCAAACATACTCGAAACATAGTCTGGGGACGATGTTTTTAAATCATGGTTTGACTATTTGGGGAGTCGTTTTTGGGTATTTGAAATGTTTCGTCCAAAATCCGCCTGCACGGGGACATGCTCTTGTTTCTTGGCCAAGGGCCACAAACTACTGCGACATCCCAGCGTGCCAAGACCCTGCACAGGATGACAAGTCATGAGGCCAGTGGGACCGGGCCAGTTTGTCAAGGTTCACCGACGCCTCCCGAGGAATCCCGATCCCACCCCCGAGGTCCTCCCCTCCAAGGTCCTCCGAAGCCCCCTGGGCCCCACGACGGGCCCAGGGATGGCCACACGGCCTATACCACTTGGCAGGGTCCTGCCAACTCCTTGAACGATGCCAGCTCGGGGCTTGTCTTCGTCAAACATGTTGTTCCTACCTCTCGCTGAATTCTCCACTTGCGCTCGAGGTGAAGCTTGTGAGATCATAGGATCCGGGGGCCTTCTCGTAGTGTCCAACATTGCTGCCTGAGCGCAAATTGTAGGAGGACGAGAATTGGGAGGAACCGGTTGTTGAGGATGATAATGGTGGTGATGATGATGTTGATGATAATGATGGTGCTAATGCTGATGCAGATATTGTTGCTGATGCTGGTGCTGATGGTGACGGTGATGGTGATGCTGATGGTGAGGATGGTAATGGTGATGATGAGGATGATGATGATGCTGCTGTTGGTGATGATGATGATCATGATGACGACGATGATCATCATGCTGGTGATTGAGATGCTGATGCTGATGGTGGTGATGGTGATGAAACTGATGATGATGCTGGTGATGCGGATGTTGAAAACGACGACATGGATGATTATCATTACGATACTTCTGGTGACGATGATGATGCTGCTGATGATGACGCCGATGAAATCGTTGCTCCTGTTGTTGATGATGAGGATGCGGGGGGATTGTGGGGGTGATGGTGATGACGATGATGATGATGCTGATGATGATGATGTTGATCATGGTAGGATGGTGGTGACGATGATGACAGTGCTGATGATGCTGATGATGATGGTGGTGATGGTGGTGTGGATGATGATGATGATGATGATGATGATGATGATGATGGTGGTGGTGGTGGTGATGATGATGATGATGATGCTGATGATGATGATGATGATGATGATGATGATAGTGGTGACGATGCTGGTGGCGATGCTGGTGATGATAGTGTTGCTGATGTGGCTGCCGTTGACGATGATGCTGTTGTTGATGACGCTGATAATGATGGTGATGATGATGCTGATGCTGTTGATGCCGATGATGTTGACGATGATGATGATGCTGGGGATGGTGGGGGTGAGGGTGATGATGATGATGATGATGATGGTGATGCTGATGCTGATGATTTGAGGGAGTTTCTGTGGAACTCACATCATCCTCACCCCCGGCGCGAAGAGCACGAGTCCAGAGCGGCCTCCGGCACCGTTTCCGGACAGATCCGCTGGATCCGCTGGATCCGCTGGATCCGCTGGATCCGGTGACGAATCCCAAACCGGCGCCCTCGCTTGAGACATCCTCACAAAACCGGCCCCGGGGGAGGTGCCCAGAGGAGCCCAGAGCGGCCTCCGGCACCGTTTCCGGACAGATCCGTGGATCCGCTGGATCCGCGATCCGGTGGATCCCAAACCGGCGCCCTCGCTTGAGACATCCCACAACCGGCCCCGTGCCCAGAGGAGCCCAGAGCGGGCACCGTTTCCGGACAGGTGACGAATCCCAAACCGGCGCCCTCGCTTGAGACATCCTCACAAAACCGGCCCCGGGGGAGGTGCCCAGAGGAGCCCAGAGCGGCCTCCGGCACCGTTTCCGGACAGATCCGCTGGATCCGCTGGATCCGCTGGATCCGCTGGATCCGGTGACGAATCCCAAACTGGCGCCCTCGCTTCCCTGAGGTCTGGAATTTCAGTTTTTCCGAAATTTTCTCAAAATTTTGCTTTGCCCGAAATTAATTTCAACTTTGTTGCGTAAGATATTTTTGTTGCTAGCACAACTGCAATAACCGCTTTCATGGGAGAGAAGAAAGTAGTATCCATATTGAGTAATTGCAGATGGGGAGAAGAATATGCGGATGGGGGAGCAGGAGGATGAGGAGGAGGAGGAGGAGGAAGAAACGGGAGCGGAGGCGAGGAGGAGGAGGAGGAGCAGTAGCAGGAGCAGGAGGAGGAGGAAGAGGAGGAGGTAGGGAGGAAGAGTAGGGAGGAGGAGGGGGACCTGGAGGGTGTAGGGAGTGAGTCACCGCGATGCGCGGTGCACGTTTTCTCCCCGTGGCGCGTGGACCTATGGCCCCGACATGCTCAGGAATGAACTCGAAAACCCTGATCCAGAGAGCATGCAAAAAAACGTGGCCCCAACCACGCAAAATTATGATTACATCGTTGTGACGGCGGTCCGTCCGCCCATACAAGAAGATGAGAAGAGGGGAGGGCAGGCGAGGAACAGGATAAGGAGGATGAGGAGGGGAAGGATGAGGACTAGGAGGCGACAGGATGAGGAGGAGGAGGGGGGGAAGGAGGAGAAGGAGGAGAAGGAGGAGACGCAGGAATATGATGATGATGGTGATGATGATGGGGTGGATGAGGAGGAGGAGGAGGAGGGGGAGGAGGAAGAGGAGGAGGAGGAGGAGGAGGGGGAGGAGGAGGAGGGGTGAGGAGGGGCGAGGAGGGGGGATGAGGAGGGGGAGGAGGAGGAGGAGGAGGAGGAGGAGGAGGAGGAGGAAGAAGGGGGCGGAGGGTGAGGGAGATAAGGAGGAGGACAAGGGGGAGGATGAGAAGGAGTAGGAGGACGAGCAAGAGGGATGGATGTGAAGGAAGGGAATGAGGATCAGGCGAAACATGACGAGGAGGAAGAGGAAGCTGATGATGATGATGAGGAGGAGGAGGAGGATCATGATGATGATGATGATGATGATGATGATGATGATGATGATGATGATGATGATGATGATGAGGAGGAGGAGGAGGAGGAGGAGGAGGAGGAGGGGGAGGAGGTGGGGCGAGAGGAGAGCCTTGACATTACCACAGAGTTGCCGAGAGCCCGATCGGGGAGGAGATTGGGAGCCCAAACGGATCGTAAATGTCAGGCGGATTTACCGAAAGGCATCTTGTAATAAGACTGGACAGGCGGATATGCCGAAAGGCGTTTTGGAATAAGAGTGGAGAGGGCGAGAACGAGAGAGAGAGAGAGAGAGAGAGAGACGGAGAGAGCGTGGGTTCTGCCGCGCTCTCTCGCCCCAGCGCCACCCACCAGCGCCACATCCTCTCAGCAGAGCTCATCGGGGGACGCGGTCGATCGTCGGCCATGGTCAGTCGTGCGCCGTTCGTCGTTGTCTGCTCTCGTCCGTCGTCGCGTCGTCGACCGCCGTAGTCGGTGCCGTCGGTGCCAAGTCGTTGCCACCTCCCTCGGGTCGCATCCCTCCCCCACTTCCGCATTCACCCTCCTCGTCTTCCTTCCTCCTCCCCTCCCCCCACCCCTACCCTCCTCCACCCTCCCTCCTCAGCCGCATCATCCTCATATTCATCATCATCCGTATTCTTTTGGTGGCATAGCGGTCTCCTATAGTCGAGATCGCTGCCGTGGCCCGTGCGCTTCTGGACCGCCTTGACGCCGCGGATGCGGGGGCCGCTGGTCTCGCCCTCGGAGTCCGACGGGCCCGATCGGACCCGTCGGACTCCGAGGCGTTATGCTGGTTCCCTTGCTTCTGGGCGTCGGTCTCGGTGTGTTTCTGCACTGTCTGCTGCCTGGAGCTGCTGATGGATGGGTTCCCCGCGGTGCTGTCGTTGTTTGCGGTGCCATCCGTGGCTTCTGCGTGTTGGCGGCGGGTCACGCCCGCGCGATCCCTCTCGTCCAGGGCTGCTGACATCCTGTCCAAGCTGGCGAGGAGCAGCCTGGTCTGGGTACTGAGGTCTTCATCCCCAGCATGCGTTGTCTCGTCGGATACCAGCCCGTCGTCAGCGGGGTCCCAGTCTTCGTCCTGCCACCAGATGTCTGTATACGGGTTGCGACCAATGTCCAGGCCGACTCGCTCGGCTCGCTCGCGATACAGGTGGCGTCGGTCGGTCTGCTGCCGCTGGTGCTGGCGCTCATAGGCCTCCACGTCCTCTGCGGACGCCCTGATGACGCCGTGTTGCGCCCACATGATGTCTCCAGCGCGATACAGGCTTCGGTTGCTCAAGCTGTGCTGTCACAGCTCTTCTTGGTCGGCTCTGTGTGCCCCAGGGATCAGTGGCGGGAAGCGATGCGCCATGTGCACGTCTGGTCGTGGTCGGTTCAAGCACCCGCGAGATCTGGGGCAATGCCGATCCTCGTCTCGAGCATGGCTACGAACGCTCGGCTCTCCTCGAGGCCATCGATCAGAGCTGCATATGCAGCCAGTCGGAGCTGGCGTCCAAAGTGAGAACCATGATTGTTGAAAAGCGTGTAACCCGATCGTCGCGCCCTATGGAGCCAACGATTCGCCCCGCGCTCTCAGAACGAGCGCACGCTCGAACGACAAAAACATCAACATATCAATCACCACAACCGCCCAGGTCCGTCTCTTTCGTTCTCTCTCCCTCCTTCTCTCTATGTCTCCCTGTTCTTATTCTACGTCTCACTTCCCCTGAGCTCCCCGTTCCTCCGATGATCCCTCCCGTATCTCTCATATACCACGTCCATTCCCCTCCCATGCCCTCCCAGCCCGTCCTGGACTTCCAGCCTGAAATACAGATCCTGTCCCTCCCTCCATCCGTCTCAGGGGTGTGAGGCATTGCTTCCTGATAGCTAGGAACCGTTCGGGCGTCGCGTGGCTTCTTTCCATGGCTTGCCCCAGTTGCCCCAGATATACAAAATTACTGAACTGGATGGGGCTAGACACAAGACATACGCATGCCACCAGGCCGATATATGCTTATGCCATGCTATGCTCGGTAGCTTTCGGGTAGCTTTCGGGTAGCGTTCGGGTAGCTTTCGGGTAGCTTTCGGGTAGCTTTCGGGTAGCTTTCGGGTAGATTTCGGGTGGTCGTCGGGTAGCTTTCGGGTAGCGTTCGGGTAGCTTTCGGGTAGCTTTCGGGTAGCGGTCGGGTAGCTTTCGGGTAGCTTTCGGGTAGCTTTCAGGCACCCCAGGGCTGCCGATACTAAACCGGAAACGGATGAGGAAGATGAGGAGGAGGAGAGAGAGGAGGAGGGCCGTTCTTATCGTGGGCACGGGGTTAGCTGTCGGGTAGCATGGACACACCATTGAATCATGTTGGGGCTCTGTCGGCACGAACACGGGTTGTCCCCCGACATAAGACGTAGTATTCGGAGTGGAGGACGGTGGATGAGAGGGACGCTCACAGGATGGAGGCCGTGCTATTGTTGTTCAGGCGATATGCTAAACACATGCCAAGTAAGTGTCAGCCTGCAAGACAGGCAATAATCTGCACCGCAGGAAGATGCTCTCCTCCCATGTGGCACGATGCGCAGACGCCGACATGCGGGCGACTGTCAAATTCAAGGTTTCGTCGACAAACGTGCTGTAGAACACTGGGTTACCATGCTGTGGTATATTACACGTCATGTGCACCCACATGTGAAACTTTGGTGTCGATGAGAAGCCCATCTCCGTCATCACAAAGATGTGCCTCAAGCACAAATCCAGCAACTCCTGGCACGTCTTCCATGGCACCTTGAATGCAGACGCCCTCAATCTATCAATATATTCCACGAGTGTATCACCCGCAACACGCAGGAGCTCACCGTTGTTGAGCCTGTGTCCCTCACTTGAACAAAATCCAGCTGCCCATCTCAACAGAACGCCTGTCTCGGCTGCCTTCGCTTTGATGAATGGTCCGTCAACGCCCACCATGGTGGGCAACAGAGTGTTGAGCTGGTAAGAAAGGTCAACCTGGTTGTCGATGCACCACTGCTTGTAATCGTTGAATAGCAGCCTGCACGTGACGTCCTCAACGTCTTCTTTTCGCCCATCAATGCCGTACATGTTTTCCTGGATAACTGAAGTAATGACTGCGTGAACGTATCTCGAAAACACGCCGAGGTAAAGCGTGTGCATCGTGTCTAACCGTAGCGTGTCAATTGATATTCCCAATTGAGGAGCAAACAGCGGGTTCCGACAGTTTGTCCAATCAAGCTTCCGATGTTTGTGATCGTAGTGGGACCGCCAAAACATTACGGTGAACGGTATCTTCCGCGTCTCGAACGCAGCCGTGTCGTGCAGGCCCGTGCTCGGTACCATGCGATCGCCCCGTTGTAGCCCGAGGTGTGGTACATCCACAGTGATGATACGCCCTATGTTTTTTTTTGTTTCGGAGCTGGCCGTCGTGCAGCACTGCTCTCCGATCATTGTCAGAGCCAATGCGTACCTCATGCTCGCAGCTGGTGCAAACGTTGTCGTAGGTGGCTGTCTTGTTCCCCCATGGGTTGTCGTCGAGGCCAACACCAGTGAAATCGAACATGTCCGACTTGCACGTGCCGCACATGAAGCAAGGGTTGTTGATGCTGGCCCACGTGGGGAGGCCAAGGCTCCCGCAAAGCTCGGCCAAGTCTGCTTTGATCTGCACTACCACGTATCGGTTCTTCAGCTCTGTCGACTCCAGATTTGCCGCTGCGTACATCGAACTTGCATCCCATGGCTGGCCATCCCATCGCACGAGAGGGCGCGTGCCGTCAGCAGCCGCGCTGAGACTCCATCGAAGGTGGTTGAAGCACCCCCACAGCGTGTCCCATCCTCTGCACCCGCAGCGGCACATCTCTCGCTTGCTCAGGACGTACAAGACGTGGCGTTTGTACGTCATCAGGTTATACCCAGTAATAAGCATGGCGCTGTCGGCTTTACCAGGGCCAATGCTCCGCGTGAACTTGATCCCGTCGAGGTATAGCGCCACGGGGTAGACCTTGCGGTCATCTCCAGCAACAACTCTGCGGGGGTGCCGTCTGAAAGTAGTGGACCACTCGTTCTGCGGTGGCGGTTCCACATGACCCCCTCGATCTTCCAGCCTGTTAAGTTCTGCCTCGAGCGCTTCATGCAGCGGCGTGCAAACAACCTTCTTTGAAACACGTCTGTTCCTAATGTTCATTGGCAGCTGGAGTGCGTTGAGCTCTGGTGCGGTTGATTGAAGTGGAAGATGTTTCTTCAGGTGCTGCGAGTACTTGCCAGTTTGCTGTCCTGGTGGAAGTGCATAGCTCGACAAGCCTGCATGATCGATCCCGCCCTTGACCGCATGATAAGCCATCGTGCAGACTGTCTTCGCCGTCAGTGCGCCTGATGCAAATTGAACCAGCAACATATCTGAAAGTTTGCCTGCATTGTCGTTGCGCTCTTCGACATCGAAAGCCGTTCCGCCTGTGCGGTGCTCCCATGGCCTGAGATCTGAGGGCGAAGTCGAGGAACTAGTGCTGTTGCTGCGTCGTCTGCGCTTGCGCTTGCGGGCCATCCTTGGTCCAAAAAAAACTATACGGAGGAGGGCGAGAAAGGACATATCAGGTTCTGCGGGGGTGCTGTCTGGTAGGGTAGCTGTCTGGTAGGGTAGTTGTCTGGTAGGGTAGCTGTCTGGTAGGGTAGCTGTCTGGTAGGGTAGCTGTCTGGTAGGGTAGCTGTCTGGTAGTGTTGTCTGGTAGGGTAGCTGTCTGGTAGGTGTCATGGCTCCTGTAGGGGGTGACGACGCAGCACTCGGACGGCCAATGGGAATCGCCTACTGACTGAAATCCGTACTGGACCTAGCTGCCGACCCAGAATGCATTGGCAAAGACAGGACGCTGAACACACATGGCTCCAAGTGTATGAACCAGAGGGTAACGAGTATGTCCTGGCTCGGGTGTGGTACTCTGTGTGTGCCACTTGGTGGCGTCGCTCATATCCTCCTCTGTCGTGACCTCCTCCTCCTCCTCCGCCTCCTCCTCCTTCTCATACTTCATATTTCTCATTCCCTCGACCTTCTCAAGGGCATGCGACTTGGGCTTGCATTTGTGAACTGTGTGAGCTTCGTTTATTTTCAGTGGCGCGCATCGAAGCACACCATCGCCTCGTACCAACTGCGGCCGCGAATAAACGTGCCGAAGCGGTCGAAAACCGACCGAAGTTGTAGCGCACCCCTGCTGTTCACGGTGCTCAAGCCTGCGTCCAGGAACCCGACGCGTCGGTGGGCGGGGATGACTCATGGCTCCTGATCACATCACGCAAGCCAGTGCGGCGCCCCTCCTGGAAACCACTCTTGAAGCCCTTCCTCCACGCGGTCATGTAGCTCTCGCCGTCGAGCTTGTCTTTCTTGTCCTTCTGGTCGAAGTGCGTGCCGTGCGAAGCGAAGTCGCACGCGCGGAGGCCTGTCTCGGACACGCCGCAGCGATCACTGTTGTCCTTCCAGTCGATCGTGATGTGCACGCAGTAGCGCTCGTTGACGTACCAGTCGTCGGACAAGACATGTCCGCCCGAGGGCTCGGCATTGTTCTTGATGTCGGCCAAGTCCAGGAAGCTGCCCTTCACGATGATGCGCCCCACGTCGTTGTCGATCCCAGAGCCGAGAGCGGACCACATCACCAGCAACTCTTTCTTGATGGCCTGCACCTGCGGGAACATCGGGAAGTCCCCCTTCCCAGCCACCTGAAAATATCCTGGCCACCACGTGTGCATGTCCTCGATCCACAGCCAACGCCGCACACACACCGCGCCCTCAACGAGGGACAGCTTCTCGACGGGTGCTGCCATCGATGGCGGTCGATGTGGGCGATTGTGCGTACAATCTGCAGCAACCTCGCAAAGCTCGAGCCCCCAGACAGCTGTACTGTAGCTGATTCTGAGATGTCAAGGTTCGTGGGTGCGTGCGTGGTGCGTGAAATAACGTGTAGTGACTCGATGCGGGACCTAACGCCCACGACAGTTGCACCACATATCCTACACCACGCCAACCACAGCAGCGAGCGATGGAACATGATGAGGAGTAAAGGGGTAGAGGGAGATAAGGGTGCGGAGGAAAGGAGGGAGGAGAGAGGAGTAGGAGGAAGGAGGGGAAGGAAGAGGATGAGGAGGGTGGGAGGAGGAAGAGGAGGAGGAGGAGGAGGAGGGGGAGGCGGAGGAGGAGGAGGAAGAGGAGGAGGAGGAGGAGGAGGAGGAGGAGGAGGAAGAGGAGGAGGAGGAGGAGGAGGAGGAGGGCGTGACACTCGGCCCTCTGCAGAGCATCACTGGGGGGCCCTCTGGAGCGCCCATATGGGGGGGGAGCATGGCGGATGTGCCGAAGGTCTGCCAGAATAAGCTGAACCCATTGTGCCCTGGGAGGCGCTGGACCCACCAGGGGCAGAGGGGGAGTCTGGCGGGTGGGCCGAAGGCCTGTCAGAATATGGTTGAACCAACTGGGCCCTGAGAGGCCCTGGACCCACCAGAGGGAGGGGGAGGCTGGCGGGTCGGCCGAAGGCATGCCAGGATGAGGATAAGGAGGAGGAGAAATACGAGAAAGAAGAGGAGGATAAGGATGAAGAGAAGAGGAGGAGGAGGAGGAGGAGGAGGAGGAGGAGGAGGAGGAGGGGGAGGAGGGCGGTGCGGAGGCTGATATATCAGGACGGGCCAGGAGAAGGAGCGGTGAAGAGAGGAGGGGTGAGCTGGAAGAGGGAGCGAGTAGTGCTGAAAGCGAGCGGCCCCACGCGTTAACCCAGACTCGAGAGCGCGTGAGAGTGAACTTATTTACCAGACTGTCAAGGGCCCACACATCACATCAGTATAGCGATGCATGAGCATCCGCCACGACGTCCCCAAACAGCGCATCACGGTCGGTCTCGGGCGGGTGGGGCCGAAGGCCTGTCAGAATGTAAAACGCATTGGGCCCTGGGAGGCCCTAGGACCCCTCGCGGGGCCCAGCGACATGAACTTTTCTAGCGCTGGCACGGTCGGGTGGGAGGGAGGCGCTGCGCAGGCACGGCGGCGTTGTCAGGGCGCGACGGCATCGGCTACGCCATATCGTCTGATATCTTGCATCTGCTGCAGTCACAGCCCTCAGCATATGCGTCCTCCGCATTTTTCTCATCCTCAATCCTTGTTTATGTTGAAGATCGTCCTCATTCTACTCCTCCTCGGCCCCTCGTACTCCTAACATTCCATATGTTAACGCCTTGCGCGCTCTCATACCCCCAATTTCACTGTATCTCGCCCTCCACAACTCATAATTCTCTTCACGCATGCTCTGAAGTGGCCCTCGGTGAGCTGCCTGCCACGATCAAACAACCCTCAGGCAGAGCAAGGACGCCAAACATGACACGTGGAGCGCACAAGGTTGAGACGACCGTGAATGAAATCTCTTCCAAACCCTCATTCGAACTCCGCCACTGGCGATCGAATGCCCAAACTTGAGCTACACCTGACCTTACCGCAACCTACCCGGAACCTACCCGGAAACTACCCGGTATCTACCCGGCCCCTGGGGGGCAGAAAGTGTGATAGGGGTGCCACAAAATGCAAACCTACCCGCGACCTTACCGCAACCTACCCGAAAGCTACCCGAAAACTTACCGCTATATACCCGCAGCATTTTCGTCAAGCAGTTGGGCAACACATCGTATCATGATGAGCTGGTGATGCTTAAGTTGGGGGGTGAGAAGCATGCGCACCGCCAACCAGTCGGGTGTTTCATGCTCGAACAGCGCGCAGAAGAAGACTCGTCGGACCTGCCGGCGTATAATCGCGCCCCGCGAATGCGTTGGCGGGTCGGTCGGCTTTGAAACAGCCACAACTATCGGTCCTGTGCACTTCGGGACGGTACGCACGTATAGTTTTGCTGGCCTGAATGCCGTTTCAGGTGCACACACGGTTCCACGGAGGTTCGGTACCAGCGTGTGTCTCAGAAATCCCACGGGAAATCCCACGGAGAAGCGTTTCGAAATCGTGCGTGACCGACGCGCCAGTACACTAGGCGGCATGCCGACGCCCCACGATCAGCAACACCAGGCAAACGAGTGCAACGAGACGAGGCAAGTACATGAGTGCGAGGAGGAGGAAGCATGGAGGAGGCTCGAATGGTGAAGAGGGGGTGGAGGATAGGGAGGGGAGGGAGCGAAGAGGAGGAGGGTGAGGAGGAGGACGAGGAGGGCTAGGAATTTGATGAGGTTGAAGGGTAGGGATGGTAGCCTGGCCTCAGCACACGATGCGTTCATTGCATGCCTGAGCAACGCATTGCCAGGTCACACTCGCCCCTCGCGCTCAAAACATAGCGCGCATGTCGGCGCTGTAAACGGAACCGCGGGGATGCGACCGATTGCCGTCGAGAGCGTGAGCACATTTCAGCACACATGGCGCCAGTTCAAGCCGAGTTCGGCCGACGCGCGTGACCCAATCTCATGCTCTCAACCACGGGGTCGCACCGCGCAGCAAGCCGACATCCAAAAAAAAACAGCAGCAGTAGGCAACGTGCGATATCACTAGCAGACGTCTGGATCGAGGAGTGGTGAGAAGGACGAGGATACATGAGGAAGAGGAGGATGAATACTGGCAGGGTCAACGGAGACGGGAGATGAGGATGGCGTGGACGAGGATGGGCGAGGACAAGGATATGGATGGCGTGGGAACGTGCGGAGGAGGATTGCCTATGCATGCTGAGCGCAACGCTATCTACTGGCTCGGCTGGTCCTCGTCGTCGAGCGTGCGCAAGCGCTTGGCGCACTGGTTGACCACGTCCAGCGCGGTGCTGACGGCCGCGATGCGGCTCAGCGTGCCGTTGATGTCCACGTCCTCGGGGAGCTGCTCGCCATCCATGATGGCGGCGGTGAGCGTCGCGTCGGCATGAAGCGTCTCGTTGCACCGCTCGATGCTGCGCTTCAGCTTGCCACCGAACCTGTCTGTGTTGGCCCACGACCATCCCGACTCGGTCTCGATCTTGTTCGACAAGTTGGTGGACTGCAGCATCACAGCGCCCCACTGCTTGGTGACCTCGGCGACCTTCTTGGATACAGTGGCCATTGTCGGCGGAGTTGCCTTGCCAGCCTTGGCCTTACCCTTGGCCTTACTGCCAGCCTTGACATTGCCCTTCGCGACTGGCGACGCGATCGGCTTTTTTTCTTTTTTTACTTTTTTATTTTTCTTTGGTTTTTTTGTTATTTTTTTCTTTTATTTTTTTTTTTTTGTCTTGTGTTTTTATTTTTTTTTTTTTTTTTTATTTTGTGTTTTTATTTTTCCTTTTCTTGTTTTTTTTTATTTATTTTTTTTTTGTGTTTTTTTTTTTTTTTTTTTTTTCTTGCTTTTTTTTTTTTTTTTTTT